GGGCCAGGCGCAAGTGCACCTCGCCTGACAGAAGACTCACAGGACTGCAGACTCATCTTCGGTCTGTGGTGATCATGGCTGCGAGTGAAATTGGTACAGACGAGGTGTTGAGCTCGAACAAGGTTGCTCTGGGGAAGAAGCGTGAGCGCAGTGAGAGTGACGACGGCGAGGGCGAGGGCGAGGGCGAGGGCGAGGGCGACGACGGTGCTGGGCCGTCGCCGGCCAAGAAGCACAAGCGACTGGCGCCGATCTTTGCTGCGGCCGCTGGTGGGGGCACTGCTGCGGCAAGCGGCTCGTCGGATGGCAGAGGTGGGCACGCCGATTGGGAGTGGGAGGAGGTGGCGACAGTGCTGGTGGGCAACGGGCAGAGCGTGGCGCCGTCGACCCGTATCGCGGCCTTTGACATGGACTCGACCATCATTACGACGGCGTCGGGACGGACCTTTGCTCGCGACACCAGCGACTGGCGCATTCTCTATCCAGAGGTCGGGCCCAAGCTGAACGACTTGGTGGCGCAGGGCTACAAGCTGGTGCTTTTCACCAACCAGAACGGGGTGGCTAAGGGCAAGGTGACAGCAAGCGGGCTGCAGGGCAAGATCAAGGCCATCTTCAGCGGGCTCGGTGTTCCCATCCAGGTCTTTGCGGCGACTGACAAGGATGAGTACCGCAAGCCAGCAACAGGCATGTTTAAGCTGCTGGAGGAGCGGTACAATGGCGGGCTGAAGGTCGACGTCGAGCACTCGCTGTACGTGGGCGACGGCGCCGGACGGGCGGCCGGATGGGCCAAGGGCCGCAAGAAGGACTTTTCCTGCTCGGACCGCAAGTTTGCGTACAACGTCAAACTGCCGTTCTTCACGCCCGAAGAGTTCTTCCTCGACCAGCCGGCGGTGCCGTTCGAGTGGGCGGGATCGATCCCAAGAACATCCCGCGTGGCCCGCCGGTGATCACACCGCCGCTGACCGGCAGCGCCTTTGTCGCCTCGCCGCCGACCTTTGAGATGATTCTTCTTGTCGGCCTGCCCGGCTCGGGCAAGTCGCACTTTGCTACCACGCATCTGGTACCTGCCGGCTACGCCTGGGCCAACCGTGACACACTCGGGACCAAGGCCAAGTGCAAGGCTGCGGCCAAGGCTGCGCTCGCGGCCGGCACCCCTGTTGTGGTTGACAACACCAATCCGTCACCGTCCGCGCGGGCCGAGTACATCAAGCTGGCGGCAGCGGCTGGTGCGCCAGTCCGGGTCTTTATCTTTGATGCCACACGGCCCGAGGCGCAGCACATGAACGAGTTCCGCGCCAAGGTGACCGCCGGTGAGCGCAAGGCCGTCCCCGGCGTCGCGTACAACATGTACAAGAAGCACTACGTCGAGCCGTCTCTCGACGAGGGCATCGCATCAATCCATCACGTAGCGCTCTCGGTCGACTTTGGCGACGACGTTGCCCGCGAGGAGCTCTTCAACGAGTTCACCTAGGCAGCACGACGGCGTGCCGTTACACGACGGCGCCCACCACAAGTAAAACTGCGCTGTAACTGGTCATCGCCTGGATCAATGGTTGTACGCCCGTCCGAGACTGCAGCCATGGCGCCACGGGAGTCCAGAGCGAGCGCACTACTTGACTCTGCGGGCACCTGAGCGCAAGTCTCCCTGCCCTGCACTGCCCTCACGACCAAGACCACGACATGCAGGTTTGGCAGCTCGCTGCCTACTTTCTCCCTGCTGGGTTTGTGGTGGGTGTGGCCGGTATGTGGTGGGCGTGGGTCGCAGAAGCGTGTGGTTGGTGTGGTTGTGGCTGTGGTTGTGGTGGCGAGTGCGTGACTCACACGCGGCTTGGTGGGGGGAGGGGGGGATCGGTACGGATTGTTTTCAATTGGTGGTCTTGGTCTGGCCTGATGGGAATACTACCGGGTGTGGACTATGTGTGGTGGTTTGCTGGTTGTGTTCGTGACCTTTATCACGCTGTAGGCGCCGCTATCGGGTTCACAGCATGGATCCTGGTGCTCCCGCTGCTGCTGGTTGGCTTTGACTTTACGGTGGCAAACGCGCTGTTTGTCTCGCTAGCCATCGATGCGCTCAACGGGTTCCTGCTCGCGGCGTTCTTTGCCTCGCGTGGTCTCTGCGCTCTGCGCCCGGCTCTGGCCATGGCCGCCATCGGCGTTCCGATCGCAACTGTTCTTGTTGTTTTTGTCTCGCGGACGCTGCTGCCCAAGCACGAGTCGCTGCTCAAGGGCGCGGTTCCGGTCACTGCCCTGCTTGTCGCCGCCGGCTTTATCCTCCGCGGCCTCGTGCTGCAGCGCAAGGCGTCCCGTGCAAAAGGCGGGGAGAGCAAGGCCGGCACACCGTCCGTGCTGCCTCCAGGCACCGGCCTCGGAGCCGGGCGCGCCGTTCCGCCCGGCTACTTTTCGTCGGTCCAATCGGGCGGGGCCGAGGCTCAAATCGACGCCGGTGCCGGCGGTGAGAGCACAGGCCTGCTCGGCGGCACAGAAGCAGTTGCCAGTCCGTCGCTGCAGCCGCTGAGGCTGGCAGTGGCCGCGGTGGCGACGGCGGTCATCTCGACGGTTGTTGGGCTCATTGGCATCGGCGGCGGCATGTTGTTCGCCGGAGCCGGTGGCTACGCCTTCCGACTGCCGCTGCGGACGTCGGTAGGCTCGGGCATGCTGACCACCGGCCTGGTCCTGGTTGGCGTCATGGCCGGCTGGGCTGACCGCGTCGATGGCGACGTGGTGTGGAAGCCGATTGCAGCCATGGTCATCGGCACTGTCGTTGGTCTTGCCGTCGGCACCATCGCCGCCCTCCGGGTCTCCAAGATCACCCTCAACTTTCTCATCGGCGGCGTGCTCTTTGCCACCGGCGTTGTCGTCATTGTCCAGAGCGTCATCCTCAAGCACGAGACCAAGCATTCGCGAGTTCGGCACTAGCCGCCGACACAGCGGCACGGAGAGGGAAGAGACGAGGGGCTCCGTCAACAGCACGAGTAGTACTTGTTGTTCCACGGGTTGTCCCACACGCCGATCTCCCGGCGCGAGCCCTTGCTTGCCGCCAGTTTCACCATCGCCTCCTCGTACTGATGCTCGACCGGAGTGTATGCCCACCAGCGCCACGAGGAGCAAAAGGTGACCACGTTGCCCAGGACGCCCTTGGAAAACGGCGCCACAAGCTCAAAGCCACGGAGGTACTCGATCTTGCGTGTCCGCAGATCCTCCCACGTTGTCTGCCCGGTGAGCACCAGATATGTGTGGTAGCCCCAGAGGCCGAGCGGAAGGAGGCCGACGCCGCCGGCATCGATGACAACAAGCAACTGGATCCAGTTGGCGTTGAGCCAGGGCGAGACGTCAACAAAGGCCTCGGCAAAGACCACGGCTGTCCACATGCACATGATCGACTGCGTGGCGAGGAACCAGTAGAACCAGACATGGTTCTTCTCGCCGACACAAGCCCCGACCCAGAAGCAATGATGATCGAACCGATACACACACCGCTGGCACTTGTAGCAGTGCTTGACCCGCATCTTCTGCTCTGTCTGGCACTGCTCGCACCATCGCGAGCAGCCCTCCCGCCCGCTCATCAGCCTCTCCCGACCCGTCCCATCTCGACATCCACCACATCGGGAGATCCAGCGGCATCAGCTCGCCCTCCGCCCCGATCCGACAGCCTTCTTCCGCCAGATGCACCAGGTCGACGCCCGCGGCCTTTGGGCACATAGCCAGGACCGATCATTGAAATGGCAAAGTAGAGACAGATAGAGGTGGCGCCCAGAGCCAGCCATGCCACCAGCTGGCTCCTCGATGCCGTCAGCGTGTTGGGTACGCTCACCACAGCCGCGAGAATAAAGCCATCATTGAAGAGGAAGCACCAGCGGGCAGAGAGGGCGCCCGCAGCGGCGTCGGCACGCATGGCGGGGATGGGGTGGCGGGGAGTGGGGTGGGGTCGTCTGGGCGCGACTTTGACGAGCCTCTGTCCAACACCTTGGGTCCGGCGCCGAGCGATGAGCCATGAAGATGGCTTGGCGTGGGACTCTGCGGCCAGACAAGATGTGGATTGGCGACTGGAAGGGTGGGCTTTTACGAGAACGGGAGGATGTCAAAGCTGGCAAGCTCGGCCTTGACGCGATCAAAGTAGGTTGGGTCAGGAAAGCCGTGCGGGCCGCCACCGAGGGTGGTCTTGGCGTGAATGCCGTTCCACACTACCTGATTGGAGCGGCCGGTGGTGATTGACGTTCCGACGCGGAACATCTGCCGGTTGAGAAAGGCACGGATGAGGAGGCAAAGGACCTCAAGACCTTCGGGGGTCTCGGGCAGGTAGCCGGTCCGCGAGGTGCCCGAGAACTGGGTCCCATCTGCTGCCTTGCCCGACGGCAGCGAGTAGTCGAGGCGGACCATGCCGGCACCAGGGTAGCCTGCAACCGAGGCGCGGCCTGGCGGCGAGAGAGAAACCCTGAGGGTGCCAGGTGGCTGCGGGCCGATGAGCGTGTCGTACGCCTTGGTACAGAGCGGGCACTTGGGCGTGACAGCCATCGCCGCCACCAGGCACGCCTTGTGGAACGGATGCCCGCACGCTACAAAGTGGATCGCCGTAGCGTCAAAGTCGTCGAGGCAGATGCAGCATCGGGTCTCAGTCGAGCTCGTTCCACGTCCTTCGGCCGTCGTCTGCGCCACGAGCGCCTCTGCGTCCGATCCTTGGGTTGCGCCATGCTCATCGCGCACCTCAAACACCAGATCGTGCTCGTACCGCGCCGAGTTGCTTAGATCAAAGATGTCAAACGACGACGGCTCCGACGACGGTTGAGCGCTGTAGCCACTGCTTCCGCCGGCAGACTTGCTCCGCCGGACCTGGCGCACAAAGCCAGTGGCATCATTGGTCTGGGTCCCGGCGGCCACGTCGACCGTGTACCGCGACCGTCCAAAGCTGAAGCTGACGGTGGTTCCGGCCTGCTTGGCTGCCGCCAGCCGCGCCGCCAGCTTTGGCGAGTACGGCTTCCACCCCGAGTCGTCGCGCCACTCGTAGCCGGCTCCGGCCGCAGCGTCGGGTGAGGTCTGGGCTGAGCCATCGACCCGTCGGACCTGTCGCACAAAGCCGGTAGCATCGTTAGTTTGAGTCCCGGCACCAACGTCGATCGTGTACCGCGATCGGCCAAACTTGAAGCTGGCTGTGGTTCCAGCCTGCTCGGCTGCCGCCAGACGTGCCGCGAGCTCAGGTGAGTACGGCTTCCACCCCGAGTCATCAAGCCACTCGTAGCGCACAGCAGGCGCAGCAGCTGATGCCGAAGCCGCCGACGACGGCGGCGGTGCTACTGCCAGCGCCGGTGGTCCAAGCAGCTCTCCTCCAACCGGAGCAGCGCTGGTGTTGGGTGGATGTACCATGCACGAGCGCGCGGATGTGAACGGGTCAAGCGTCCACGACATGTTGCGCGGCGCACCATTGGATGACGAGCTGGAACGATTCGACGCGTGCGGTGGGCGATTGGCACCGGCGCGGCCTCCCCGGGCGAGCTTCCCAAGCCCTTGTTGGATCTTGGGTTCGCGTTGCTGGGCCTCGCGGGCCCCTTCTTGGTCTTTCTATTGCTGCGTCTCTTCGTCGCTCCGCCGCCACGCCCACCACGCCCACCACGCCCACCACGCCCACCACGCCCACCACGCCCACCACGCCCACCACGCCCACCGCGCGACTTGGAGCTCGTCTTGGGTGTCGTGCGGAGCTGCCGACGAGTAGACTGGTTGCTGAAACTGCCGCTGCTCGCGGGCCCGCCTCCGTGCCCGCTTCCGTTCCCGCTTCCGTGACCACTACTGCACACGTCCGAGTCCTCATCGAGCGCTTTTGGAACCGCAGGTGTTGAAAGGGTGGGCGGATTCGAGCCGATGCCGCCTGCCAGCGCAGCGACGGCTTCCGCTCGGCGCTGGCGGCGATCGTGGGCGGAGGCCCAGTAGCTTGCCCGCCCGCGATCGCATTTCGCCTCAGTCATCTCCGCACACGGAATCGAGTCGTAGAGGGCCTGAACAGCACGGATGCGAAGCACGCCCTTGGTCCGCGCATTGTACTCGGTCATCTTCTGCAGATCGACAATGACCTCTCCGCGCGGGAGGACCAGAATGACTCGGCCATCGCTAGAGAGAGCGTTCTGTTTCTGCAGCATAACCTGCACCGCATGCGGATACGGCGTCCATTCAAAGGTTGTCGGATGGCGCCACTCGAACAGGATCCCGTTCCCCATCGCCCCGCCATGGAAGCCCAGCCCGCTGCTGCTGCTGCCACAAGAGTCTGAGTCGCAGTCGCGGTGGCGAAGGAGCTCAGCCTCGGCCACGACTGCCTCCAGAGCGTCCAGTAGGGATGAATTTGGGGAAGAGTCAGTGTATGAGCCTGAGGAGCAGGACGACATGGTGTGCACTTGGGTCAAGTGTGGTGGGTGGGTACGGGGGGGAGGGGAGGGGGGGAAGGGTGCCTGACAATCGAGTGTGTGACGATTGAAAGAACGTTTGCGATTGGGAATGGGGTTGGGATGGGGTTGGTTATGAGGGGATGAGGGGATGAGGGGATGAGGGGATGAGAAGGGGATAGGAAGTGGGGGA